TGCAATTGCAATATATTTACACTTGACAGACGCCGGTCGGACGTCCTGACGAGCTCGCGAGATTTGATAAAAATCCATGGAAATGAACCGACATCAAGCAAACGTTTATGAAATTATTTCAACGTATTCTGATAGGCGCTTCGTTTGTACTACGACCTTGTGATTTTCAAATATTATTTCTAAACATATGTTTTATAACGGCGAATACTAAAATCGATAACTTTTTTTTATAAAATACGAGTTATCAAAATTTTTTGGACGTACTACATTCAACTAGATGAATAGCTATATTTGTATTATTCATCGCAAAAGCTTATAAGATTACGTCATAAATCACTATTAAATAAATTTGTAAACAATTGCATTGCACTAATAAACAATATTGTTTATAAATATTTGCACACGCTGCACGAAAATTCTTGAAACAAAACACATAATATTTTTCTTTGAATGAATAACAATAATAATATTACCAGCACGTGGATGAAAAATTTCCAAGAAAGAAAAAATATCGATCGTTTCGATATATTTGTTTATGTATAATTATAATAATTTTAACAATGTTGAATATTTGTATAAACAAATTCAGATGCAACGAAAATGTGTCATCTTGATTTTATCGTAAACAAGAAATATTTTTAAATGGAATTTTATCTGGTTTTGATAAGAAATGAGTTTATTATGAATTTGAATGAATAATGTTGAAAGATATGTATATATACATATATGAATCTTTTGAAATGAATAAAAAAATGCAATTTTTACAAATAGTAATTCACTTAAAATTCGTACTTAAATTCTGATTGTTAGTAAAAACAATATAAAATATAAGTAAATTAACTAATATACGACAAATATTCAAATATTAAATATAAATATAATATATTCATTTTGGCAGGTGACAGTTCAAGAAATATCAATTTAAATAAAATTTGAACTTAAATGCTGATATAAGTTAAATTTTAAGAAAGAGGGATGTAATTTAGTTACAGACTAAAATATTTGATATAAATAATAAAAGTTCAAAATTTCAGTTTAATTAGAATTTATTCTTATAAATGCTGATATCCTGATAAAAAAATATCGTTTCCAAAATTGTTTATATCCACTGATGGTGACATAAAATTATATATCGAAATATGTGGAAAAATGAAGATATTTTGGAATCTTCTTGTAATCTTGTAAATGTTGTTTTAATCTTTAGTGAAATATCTCTGAGAATTTTTTAAATATGCTGAATAATGACACACATACAGTGTCGAAACGTACATAATAAATAAATAATTAATTATTGCTTTTTATTTCGATTATTTAGCTGCTTAAATTTGCTTTCGACTATTTGGCTATGAAAATTTGTAGAACATATGTTTCAACGTCGAACAAAAAATGTTTATATACACATATATATATATATATATATATATTTTATATATATATATATATATATATATATATATATATATATGTAGGTATATATATTAGTTATCAACGAAAATCGATAAATTACAGGTAGGTTATATCTAATCTAAAAATATTATCATATCTTTGTCGCCTTGATGAGACGACTTAAATTACATTATTTCTATTCATAAATCGATAATTATATATATATATATATATATATATATATATATATATATATAACCAAGTTCAGCATAAATTAACACTTTATTGATGAATCATCGAATCTAGTTTGCATTCGTCACAATCAATCAAAATATCATAAAACAAAAATAGCATTTATATACCTAACAAAATTCTACGAATTTTATAATTATTTACTTCCCGAAAAGAAAATTTTGTTTTCTTAAAAAAAATCCGGTTCGATAATTTTATATTTTCTCTGGGCGTTTCTGAATCGTTTGACACTGAAAAAAGAAATAGAAGAGAAAAAAAATGATATTTCGACATTTTCTATTTCAATAATTGAAAATCTGTGGTTTCCTACCGGGGCGATCAAAATACCATTTCCAAAAAATAAACCAAAAACGTTCAAACGGTATAAAAAATTGAGTTTATAATTTTTTTTATTTGACTTTCCGTAGGGTAATCGAAAATGAAATTTTTTGTATTTCTTCACGTTTTGAAGGTTTTTGAACATTTTGCACTGTGTATGTTACAAATGTCTATATGCAACTTGACTTAGTAAATGGCATTTCGAAACTATCCAAACCATTTCGTACCGTATGAAACAAACCTTTTTTATTTATTCCTATATGATTGCTTAACACTTTTACCAAATTTTTTATGTACCCACATTATCTTTTATCTCGGCGGTGCGATAAGATTTAAGTACATACATAAGTACATCACCGGCACAGTAAACCAAAACCGGTTGTGTAATGTTTGGAGGAATTCGTGTTACTTTCTCTCATGGCGTTTCCGAAAACATAATTGTTATTTAACTAGCATTCAAATTTATTATTATTAGGCAATTACAACTAGTATGGCGATAAATTAAATAAGGAGACGGAGAGCAAATCGTAAATTGGATAATAGATAATCCTAGATAGGCCTTTTATGGGCCTATTCTCGGATATCAAAGCTGTTTTGCTATGAATTTTCCATGGTAACATAATATGTCACAAATAAGAATTAAGAATCTAAAGATTTGCTATTCTGGGTGCACCTATTTACTCAGAGTTATATTTTCTTGGTATTGTCTCTCAATATGTTGGTAGTCTCAAAACTATCAAAAAACAATATATATGACGTTTATTTTTAGTACTAATTGAATTAAATAAAAAAATTTTTAGTACTAATGGCGTCAATTTTTTAGTACCTTTTTTTAGTACTGTCAACGCCTGAACACTAACCTTCAAATAGCATGCACATCATAATAACCTTAGTTCTAATTCACACCTATTTTAATTATAAGTACAACTCTTATGTAGATCTTATTTCTCATTGAAGATTTTTACTCAAGTTACAAAAAGTAAAAAATTAGTAAAGTTATTAATTTGTACGTAAACATTAGGTTTGCTCGTCAGTAGAATTCTTTTCTTGCTTCAATAGAGATTTAGTTTGCTCGTCAGTACAGTTCTTAATATCTTACTTGATTAGAAATTTAATTTGGTCATCAGTACAGTCCTCTTATCTTTTTAGGAAGAATAGAAAATAAATATGATCTACTTTGCGATTACATCAGTTTTAATTGTTTCCCCGCTCCATAGAGGCGCCACAAAACTGTAGCATGTAAATTTACCCCTGGGTTTAATTCTAGATAAATATATAATACAGAATAGATAAAGCTGATTAACTTGAATAAATAAAATGAGAATAAAATATACGCTTATAAAAAGTTAATGATATTGGATATTTAATTTTTTGAAACAAGAATATCCAACAATAAATTGTGACTGTTCAGTTAAAATTCAAGTTACAATTTTATTAAATTAACAAATTTGATTATATATTGGATGAAAGTAGGATAAATAGAACATCTTTAGCAATTTCTTCAATTTTAATCATTTGCCCTCTCCATAGAGGCGCCACCAACCGTAGCACATAAATTTACCCTTGAGTTTAATTCTAGATAAGATTTATTAGAATATTAGTTCTTTTTATCTTACTTCAATAGAGATTTAATTTACTCATCAGTAGAGTTCTTTTTATCCTACTTGACTAGAAATTTAGTTTAGTCATCAGTAGAGTCTTTTTTTCTTTTTAAGAAGGTATAAAATTTGTTCATCAGTAGAGCTTTTTTCCCATCAGTAGAATTTCCTTTGTTTCTAACTCAAATAACTTCAGTTTGCTTGTCAGTAGATTTTCTTTTGATCCCCAAATATTATCGGTAAAAAATATTTTCTATGAAATATTATACTCTCAGTGCTAGTTGCAATATCAAGCAGCATGATTTCATTTCTATAATAGAAATTTCCTTTGCTCATCAGTAGAGTCGTAATCCTAAGTAAGAGCAACTTAATTAAAATTTCAGTATGCTCGTCAGTAGAGTTCTTTTTTATCATAATCAAATAAATTTTCTGTTTGAGGGCAAGTAGAGAGTTCTGTTGTTCTTGTTTATGCAAGTTTTCAGTTTGATTGTTGTCAGCAGAGTCATTTTTTCTTCATAAGCGAATATAAAGTATGTTCATCAGTAGAATTTTTTTATGCGGATATAAAATTTGCTCGTCAGTAGAGCTATTATTGCTTTTTCTCATGTAGAGCTATAGTTTGCTCGTCAGTAGAGTTTCTTTTGTCTCTAAAAACTGAAGTAAGAATTCAGCATGCTCGTCTATACATTTCAATTCTATCTTACTCAATTAGATATTTAGGAGGCCAATTCTCCGATAAAATAGCAATGTAATGTTACGGGTCTATAATCGTATGAGTTTGTAGTCACAAACTGTCAAATCTAGGTATTTGCTCTGCAATCCTAACCTCCAAAAGGCACATAATAATAACTTTGATTAGACTTCTTCTATGTGTTTCCTAAGCGACATTACAAAAATGCACTTATGATAAAATTTTTACTCGTCATTTGTGTCTTTTGGAGTTGAGGCTTTGGAGGTTAGCTTTTTTGACAGTTTGTGACTACCATTTCATACAAAGATAGACCGTAACACAACGTAGAATAAATAAATAGAGTTGTATTTTCCTAATTCATTTCCAATATTATCTTCCAATCATTTATTTATAATATTTAGTTAGTCTAAACCAAACGTCGTCCGTTCCAGTTCCTTTTGGAATTAGATCAGTTGCTTTGAGATGAATCTACACCAATGTATATATCTATTATATATATTATATATACATATGTACTGCTATATGGCATAACTATTATTGCATCGACCTAAATTCTAATTCCAACTGACCAATTCTAATTCGACTCGACTCGAATCGACTATGATGTTTTAATAAATAAATAAAGTAGCATAATTGGATTAGGAGGCTGGGGAATTTTTATTGACGCTTTTTATTTTTATTGAGCGTGGGTTACTGACAGATATATATATATATATATATATATATATATATATATATATCAATTACCATCTTACCTGTAACAAATACATATCGTCTGCTCCTCCTATCCTCTAAATTAGAGTCCAAAATGTTTTCCTCACATGTCTTCTCACTTTCTTTCTTCAAACGAAAAAGAAACTGCAATTCCGATCCCGAATTAAGTTGTATCTGCAAAAGAAGAAATTAATAATGAAACAACAATAAGAAATATCAAACATAAAAAATGATGTTCGGTGGAACTTTCTCTTAAAATATTTCATTGTGCGAACGCGGTTGAAACTTTCTTTAAAAAGGACAAGATAAAGAATAAAGATGATCGAGAAGAAAGTATAAAATTTTTGGGGTTTGGTTATGCACATAAAACTTTACTCGAATTAATTTTGTCAAAATATTTGTCCTTTACAAATTTGCAGGTCTAGAAGAATTCAAAACAAAATTCGATCTTCTGACCTTCCCAAGATTTTTTTTTATCTATCCCATAATGTTCTATAAATATCTCAATTATCCAAGGGTTATAAATAGTATTTATTATTACATGGATAAGAATATTTATTATATCGATATTATTGATGAGACGTAGTAGTATCGATAGTACAAAGTGGCGATTCTTTGGCGAATGGCGATTCCAATTCATATAATTTATGTAAATCGATATCGATTTAGAACAATGAACCGTTCGTCACCTCGATCGACTTAAATAAATAGTATCGACTAAATACACAGCTATAGCTACAGCTACAGCTATTAGCTTGAAGAGGAAAAATAGCTACAGAGGCGTATTAAAAATATATATCGAAACTATTCTGATCAATTATAATTAATTATTATAATTATTTACTCCATTTTAATTTTTTTTTGACTATGTGTACATATTAATTAGTACTTTTCATTCTTAACTTCCCGTTGGGCAAGTTACAGTAATCGCAAAAAAATCTAAAATGAAAATTTTTGCATATCTTTACTAGGTTTCTAAACATTTTGGCATACCTCAGAAAAAATTGATGTTTGTGTGTGTGTGTGGGGATACAAATATTCGTCGACAATTTCGTGAACACACTCTTTCATCCAAACAAGATCTTTTTGAATTAAGATGGATCAAAGACTTCATATTTATACACAACAGATTATTAACTTCCCGTAGGGTAAGTTATTGTAATGGGCCGAAAATCGGAATTGAAAATTTTTACATTTCTCGACGTTTTGAAGGTTTCTGAACGTTTTGGTATACCTCAGAAAAAATGGATGTGTGTGTGTGTGTATGTATGTGCGGATACAAATTTCCAGTCACATTTTAGGGCGCACGGATCAACCGATTTGAATGGTTCAAAAAACATTCGATTCCTATTGATAGGGAAAAGAGCTGATTAGATTTTGGCAAAGGCAGGTCCAGCCGTTTCGGAGATACGGAGCAAAGAGTGCAGAAAATAGAAATCGAATTTTTGAGCGAACGGAGTATCCGATTTGAATGATCTAAAAAAATTCAATTAGTAATGATTGGGAGAAGTGTTTATTAGTTCTTGGCAAAGGCAGGCCCAGCCATTTCGAAGATACGGAGCTAAATATGTAAAAAATGGCAGTTTTTGAGAGAACTAAGCGTCCGATTTAAATGATTCAAAGAACTTTCTGCTTGCCTTAACAAAATAATTTATTTTGGAAAAAAAATTTTGTTCCATTTTTTTTTTTTTTTTTTTTTAGTTTTTTGTATATCGAAAATATTTCAGATTTTATTTTATTATTTTATATTAGACAATGATACAATATTTATAATAATCTATTTGAAAACATTCAGTATTCAACGGGAAGTTCCAGCAATTTGCCTTAAGGCACGATGCTATAATTGCCTCAAGACAGAATTCCACTTACAGCTAGTTTATTTATTTATTTATTCATTGACGTACTTTGTATGAATTATGATTCATTTTGTTCTAAATTTGAGTTATTACAATAAAAATGCGATCAATGTAGTTGTATTTTGGTCGGTTAGATGTTTGAATAAAAATAGATCGAAACCAAAATTTATTTATATCTATATTAATTAATTATACATTAATTAACATTATCTTTTTAACTAAACAGATCGTACATCATATTTGAAACAAAACCTATTATAATAAATCACATTTATGTCAAAACAGATCACATTTAGCATATAATATACAATAGATCATATCATACATATAAATGTGATCTATTTTGATCTAAATATGATCTCTTTCCGATTAATGGTATATTTCAATGTAAAATTAACCTATTATCATCAATTTAGATCAAAATTCAATATATTATATACATTTTGTTCCAAATATGGTTTATAATTCATTTTAAAAAACTATAAGTGTTTTAATCAAAGTAGATCCCAAAAAATCATAATTAGATAAAATAAATTATATTTCAAATTTGAACTATCTGCAATATACGTCATAATTATTTAAATTTAGGTTTTAATTTTTGTACTCGATTTTTTCAATTAGAAACTAACAAGTATTTTACTATCTGACAAGTCTGATTGTTATTGGCCCATTTAGACTAATTTTTGATACAATTTTCTATATTTTTTTTAAAAAAAAAGAGCCCCCCAAAGACGACCGACTTTAGAAATTTTAATGGTTCTAGAAATTCACGGTTACGATTCTAAAATTTGTTATGAACAAAATTAGTTAAAAATTTCCACGATATCTGAAAAATGGTCACAATTACACCAAAAACTCTAGGTTAAAAGCTCATAATTTCCAAACAAAGTGAGTTAATATTTTTCTATTTCTTTAGAACAGTTACAGTCAATATATACTATCAGCTCGTTACGGTTTGACGTTGAGTTCTGGGACACCCTGTATAAAGATATTTAAAATCGAGATTTCATTCAAGATCTCTGTATGTTATTCAAGACGTGTAAGGATCATACAAAAATTTTTAACACGATCTATGAAGATTATAAAAGATTTATTAAAATCATTGCAAAGAAGAAATGCAAAGATCTTTGCTTTTCAAAATATTTGTATGTAATAAAAAAAAATTAATATTATTAGTAAATTAGTTTAAAATTATCTTAATTTTTTTTGTAATAATGTAATAAAATTTGGTTTATAGTAGTAAAGGTTTATGTTTATTTTTCAATAATATTTTAATATACAATTTAAGATAATGAAACGAAATGAAAATATTTTATAAAAATATTTATAGAAGTTATAAGGTTGTCAAATATCTCCCTTCCGCCTTTTTGTATTATAAACCAAGAGCAAAAAAGCGGAAGGGAGATATTTGACAACCTAATATATATTGATTTTTATTTATTATTCAGTTTTAATAATTTTATATGTAAAAATAAACATTAATAAATATAGTAATGATATTTATTATTATAAAATTATGTAAATAATTTCAAAAAATTTCGTTTGTATTTTTTTGTATGATCTTTACACGTCTTGAATAACATATAGAGAATGAATGAAATCGCGATCCTTTATATAGGGTATCCCAGAACTCAACGTATTAATTTTTAATACATCGATCTACTAAAAATTCATCACTAAAGTTTTTAATTTGTAATAAATTTTATTAGTACACATATAATTATACTAAAAACACGTTTCGATTCAACTTCCCGCATTAATCAGTGATTGTTGGAACTATATCGATCCATTTCCAGTTTTTACATATAATTTTACAATCTATTCTGTTCCACAAATGCAAATGTGCAAAATGTGCAACCGATAGAAGAATTTACGAACAAAAGTCGTCAGACTGGTTTCCAACAGCAAAAGTGCTAATGGGATGCATTCATATAATCATTAAATATATAGTCGACACATTAATATATATATATATATATATATATATATATATATATATAAACAAATTGATTCTTACATTTTTGCAGATCCGCCAAAAAGCACTTTTTCACATAGTCACCTTAAGTTCACAAAAACTGAATATTAGCAATTAAATATTATAATAATTTTTAAATCTAAAAAATGTAGTTAAATTTTGTATATTTATATATAATTATTTATATTTATTATTTTATCACTTTTTAAAAAAAAAATTATATACACGTATATCCTTCAAAGCCGTCAGCGACCTATTTTTGCACAAATAACGATCGACCTATTTTTTGCACAGTTTTATTAAATAATATTAAATAGAGTCTGTAAAATTGTAAAAATATTGTTAAATATTATTACTAATAGTTTAAAAAATATATATTATTAAAATGTTATTAACTATATGTAGGTATATCTCAATTCAATCTCAATTTATAATTTTTTACAAAAAAACTATTCCAAATGTTAAATTTTAGTAATATTCAACATTTTGATATGTATATTACATTTTTGTAAATTTTAGCATTTTATAAAATTTTATACAAATTATTTATAATTATGTCAAAATTAATTAATTTAATTATAAATATTTATTGTTTAATAAATATTTTATAAAACTTTATTTATATTTTTCAATTTTATTTGATAATATTTTAGTGCTTAATTTAATTTAAAAAAATGTATTATTATGTTAAAATATTTTATTACACAATATTATAATTTGTTTATATCATTTGAAAATAATTTACTAAAAAGTTGAGCTAGGATTTTTTTTAGAATAACAAAATATTATTAATGTTAATTTAATAATCATGTATTTTCTAATATTTTAAATAAAGTTTAAATGAAAAAATGTAAGTTAGTTTTTTACTTAATGTTTTTATTAGTTAGTATATTTTATTTTTAATAATAGAAATGGTTAATTTGTGAATTCAAATACAAAATATATTATTATTATTGAAAAGCTGTTTAAATTTAGAAAAAACGCTTTATTATAAAAACATAATATTATTATAGAAAAGCTGTTCAAATTTAGGACAAAAATGCTTCAGAAAACTTTTTTTATGACAAATTGTAAATTTTCAATAATATTTTTATTTGTTTATTTGTTTTTTAAAATATTTATAAACTTGCAGTTTAATATATAGTCAAGAAAAAAATTATTAATATTATTACTAAATTAATTTAAAATATTCTTACTTCTTTATTTTTTTTACATTTTTATAATATATAAAATTTAGTTTATAATTGTTTATGTTTATTTTTAATGTTATTTTAATATAATTTAAAATAATTTAATATAATTTTTTATTTAATTCTTTTATTTTAATATAAGTTTATTTAATTTAATTTTAATATAAGTTAAAATTATTAAACAGACAGAAATATAAAATAGAAATATTTTATAAAAATATTTATATTCAAAAAAATAAATTTTATCTTCAAAATTAAAATTTAATAAATTTAATCATTATTATCATTATTAAATATAAAGATTTTTTTTATAATAGTTTATGTTTATTATTTTAATATAATTTATGAAGTTAAAATAATTAAACAAACAGAAATATAAAATAAAAATATTTTATACAAATATTTATATGCAAAAAATATTAATTTTATCTTCAAAATTGAAATTTAATAAATATAGTAATAATTATTATTATTAAATTATATACAGATTTTCAAAAAAATCATAATAAACTTGAAAAAATGTATTAATTTATTTCTTAAATTTTCAAAAATTCAAAAAATGAACACAAAAATATATAATAAAGTCTCTAAGACACATTTTGTAATTTATAAAAATAATTAAATAAACATTGTTAAATTTAATTATAATTATTATTTGAAAAAAAAATTAAATTATTTAAAATAGTTTAAAATTTAAAAATTTCAAGAAAACATTTTTGGATAAAAAAATAGTCTCTAAAATTCATTTTGTAAATAATAATTTTTATCAATTTTTTTTTGAATTTACAGTTTTGCCAAAATTTATTAATTATTCAATTTTAATATTTTAATCCCTAAGAAATGAATACATTCATTTTTTTTATTATTATTATTAAATTATTGAAATAATGTCACAAAGTTTGCAATAAACTTTAAAAATTTAAGAAATAAAAATAAAATATATATTAAAGTCTCTAAGACACATTTTGTAATTTATAAAAATAATTAAATAAATATTGTTAAATTTAATTATAATTATTATTTAAATTTTTTGATTAATTTAAAAAAAATCAAGAAAACATTTTAAGAAATTTCAAGAATAAGTTTCAAAAATTCATTTTACAGGTAATAATTTTTATCAATATTTTTAATTGACACTTGTGCCAATTTTTATTAATTATTCAATTTTAATATTTTAATATTAATAAATTTATTTAAACTTCAAACATTTAAGAAATAAAAATAAAATATTATTTAGTGTCTAAATACTATCCTTTATTTTGTACTCTTTTTTATTTAAATTTATGTTATTATTCATTATTGTTACTAGATATTAAATTATTTAGCAGTTGTAACAAATATTGTAATTTAAAAAAATTATAGTCTAAAAACACATTTTGTAATTTCCAAATTTTTTATAATATTTCAATATAATCCACAACCAAAGCTCCTCAAACTTTTAAATTCACCAACCAAGAATTAATTCTGGTACTTTACTCACTTTCCACTACCCATGCAACACTCAATTTTGTCACTTTTGTAATCAATTTTAACCACTTTACAACCGCACAAAACGAACCAAAATATAACCACAACAATCCTAAATATGTATATAACTAAATCCTGAACTCAATTAAAATATGTTTCATATTAATAAATTAAATTAAATTAAATTTTATCCGACATGTGCATTGTTTGCCGGCCGATAGTGTACTGACTTACTGACTGTCTGTCTGACTGAATTGACTTGCGCCTTGCGTCGAAGGACAGATGTATAAAACCTTTTATTTTTTATGACCTTGTGGAAGAAATATTATAAAAAGTGGTGAATATGATACAAAAAACTGTTGTTGTTTTGATGAAAATAGGTGTCTAATAATTTTAGAGTTAGAAGCGCATGTACACTGAGGGTTAATGAAAGAAATTCGTGGCTGCTATGACAGGTTCAGTGTACAGAAGTTTTAGAATTTAAGGGTGAGTTCAACCTTGTTTTATTCAAAATTTTTTTTGGGAGTGTATAAAAATATTTATACAGAATTTAAGTAAATTTCATCTAGTTTCTGAAAAGCTAAAATAGAGTTCCCGGAATAAAGTTTTTAAGTTATTTAATCAAACGTAAAAAAGTGTCCCCGGGTTCATATATTGTAAATATGCATCATATATTAGAGTGGGTTCAAATTGTTCAAAACTTTTGTATAAAAGTGTATAAAACGAATTATGACAAATTTTAGTAAATTTTATCTAGTTTCTGCTAAGCTAAATATAATAGAGTGTCTTGGACAAAGTTTTTAAGTCAAACGTAAAAAAGTGTCCCGAATCCATATATTGTAAATATGCATCATACATTAGGGCGAGTTTAAATTATACAAAATTTTTGTATCAAAGTGTATAAGATAGTTTGTATTGAATTTTAGTGAATTTTATCTAGTTTTTGCTAAGCTAACTAAAAAAAGTATCCTAAGCAAAGTTTTGGAATTATTAAAAAAATGAGAAAAAGGGTCCCAAAATTATATATTGCAAATAATAGGTTGTCAAATATCTCCCTTCCGCCTTTTTGTATTATAAAGCAAGAGCAAAAAAGCGGAAGGGAGATATTTGACAACCTAATATGCAAAAGATATTAGGGCGGGTTCAAATTATATAAAAATTTTATATGAAAGTGTATAAGATAACTTATATAATATTTTAGTAAATTTTATCTAGTTACTGCTAAGCTAACTAAAAAAGAGTGCCCGGAATAACGTTTTCAAGTTATTTAAAAAAAATACAAAGAAATATCCCGAATACACATATGACAAAGTTTCTCAATGTATAAGAACGAGTTCAAACTACCCCTTTTTTTTCATAATATTCATTTTTTAGTGTATAAAATAGTTTATAAAAATATTTACTAAATTTTATCTAATTTCTGCTAAGGTAACAAAAAAAGAGTCCTCAACAAAGTTTTTGAGTTACTTAAAGAAATACAAAAAACATCCCGAATGCATATAAGTTTCTCATTATATAAGAAGGAGTTCAAACTACCCATTTTTTTTTCAAAATACTCCGATTGGTGTGTATAGCAAAATTTATAACAAATATTAGTAAATTTTATCTATTTTCTGCTAAGTTAATTAAAATAGAGCGTCCTAAATAAAGTTTTTGAGTTATTTAACAAAATGTAAAAAATTATCCCGAATGCATATATGACAAAGTTTCTCATTGTATAAGAACGAGTTCAAACTACCCCTTTTTTTTCATAATATTCATTTTGGAGTGTATAAAATAGTTTATAAAAATGTTTAGTAAATTTTATCTAATTTCTGCTAAGCTAACTAAAAAAACACATCCCAAATAATTTTTTCGAGTTATTCAAAAAATACAAAAAAAAAAGTTCCATACTTCTCCATAGTTCCAATATCAATTTCCATTTTTTATTCTATTTCTTCACAAAAAAAATCTTCGCCATTGCACCTTTATAATTCATTCTGTCTGATTTTATATTATTTAATTTATGGTTTGTTATAAAAAGGATTAGTATCCCTTTTCGATCGACCTTTTTTTGCCAAACCGGTCAAACAAGTTTTTGAATAAAATTCTAATATAAGTCAGTAGGGCTGAAGCAATGAAGGTCAATATAACATGTGAGAACATTTATATTTATTATATTTAATAACAACAATAATTTTTTATTCATAAATATATCTAATTATAAGATTGCTTATGAATAAAATATTGTACGAAAGCAAATCTAAATTTTTCAGTCCATTTACTAATTCAGTATCTTTTCATAAAAAAATAAAAACTAATCAAAATTTAGACAGGAATGACCTTGTTTATAAAAATGTGCTATATCAAGCCATATGTATGTTCATCATTTATTTGCTATTTTAGCAACTTGCCAACAGGAACATCTAGTTATGTGATAGAACAATACTCCACATTGTTCAAACAATCGTTTCGTCAAACAATGCTAA